CACTTTGAGATGATTCACCCCTCACCCCTGGTAGGCTGAGTAATAATAACTGGTGTGCTCCTTTTTCTCCAGAAAGATTAGTCACCTTGAGAACCCCCTCCGGGGAGGTGTGTGGAGAGAACTCTTGGGGCGAGAGGCACAAAGGTGTGCTCACTGTCCAACAGCAGGGCCGCAGCAAAACCAAGAGCTGATGGCCTTCCCTTTCTTGGCGAGGCGGCCCCGGGCAGGGTAGCCACACCTCTAGTGGCAGGGAGGCCGAGGCCACCAAGCACAGCTCTGTGGGTCACATGGTGCACAACACCCCTAAAGGGCTCCCAGGCGCCAGGAGACATCACTCTAGTGTTCACATTCTGAGAGCATTTATAATGCTAAGCATGGCAATTTCCCAAATAGAGGTGATCACGTGTCTTGGGATGGGGGTCTTTTTCTAATTAGCAAGAGCACTGTATGGGCTAGCTGCAGCCAAGTCCAGCCTCCTGGAGCCTTGGGCTTCATGCCGCAGACAAGACAAAGACAAGACCGCTTTCTTTACAAGGTTCAGCCCTTGTTCACGTGCCCCAGATTGATGGAATTAAAAATCAAGCAACCTAATAATCATTCTAAAATGTCCACTGTGTAGCCAAGTTATCTGCAAATTAACATCAATTATTTGAGCATGCATAGCTTAGGTCTGTGGGTTTGTGTTTATCACTACTTGACATTCTGAGCTCCAGACTTTAGCCATCCTGCCTTCTGTTTGAAAAGTTGGAAAAAACTGGGGCCTCCCTGGTGATGTAAGGGGTTAGGTCACCACACTATGAAGCTATCCACAGCCACTGCAGCATGAGTTTCATCCCCGGCCAGACAGCTGACCCACATGGCACAGCAGACCTCTCCTGTCTCACCTGCTGCTCCCCTCAGCAGTGTGTTTCAGTAGATCCACCTGTGCTGCTCCCCATTCTGCCTCTGGTGAATCCTCTCAACTCCCCCCCTCCGCATCTCTGGCCTGTACCCCAGTTCTTGCATGCATAAATAAATTTTTTTAAAGTTGGAAAAAACTGCAAATTTGCAAACAATCAAACAAGCTATTATGAGTCCCAACAGAGAGGGCTTGTTGTTGGCACTAGAGGACACCAGCATCCCCTGGGTGTAAGTAATAGGACTGGTTCTCAGCGTGAGCTGACTCCTTGCTACCCCCTTTGGAGAAACAGCAAGTGTCGGAGAAGTGGGAGGACAGTGGGCAGATAGTGGGCGGCTCTCAGGGCAGAGCAGGGTCCCCCACAGATGGTTCTGCCCCTGCAAATGGCCCTAGCGTCTGAACCCCAGCCCAGTGGGACTCACAGGCAGGCACCCACTTCAAAGACCACTCTGATAGGCTCCCAGGAGAGGCATCCCTGTACCCCCAGCCAATGAGGATGCCCCAGTCACAGGCAAGCACAACCTGATTGGCTGAGACAAAGCCAGGTATCTCCTCTCAAGTAAACAACCTGAAACAGGTGTTCGGAACTGAAGGGGGCAGCCCCTGGGGAGATTTGGTGTGCTTGGGGGCCTCCACCCAGCACTAACACCTGGGTAACCAATTTCTTCAGCTGCTCCCAAGACACTGATTAGTGAGGACTTTATCATACCCAGGAGACAAAGTGAGTAGCGACCATGCAGCTGCAGCCTCAAAAAGGTTCCCCAGGGGACAAACAGGGCTTCTGGAGGGTTCTCCCTGGGTTCCTCTCCCCTCTCTGTCTCCAGGAGACAAAATGCCCCATCTCCCTCCTCAGTATCAGGTTCTCCATTTGAGAAGCCTGTCTTCACCTCCCACTTCTCATGGATAAATGAGTGTGTTCCTTTGTGCTCTGAGGATGGGAGAACATTTGTCCAAAGCCTACTCTGCTAGCCTGTGTTTGCAAAATAAAATGAGATAAAGCCCAGGTCCTCAAAGAGCTGATTTGGTATTAGAGGTACATCCATGCCCCCTTATTTCCCATCTCAGGCACCCCCTTCCTCTCTCCCACCCTAGAGAGGGTAAGCTCCAAGCCAATCTGTACGTTTGGAAACAAAAGAAAGAAATGACGTAAAAAAAAATAATAATAATCCCTCCTTCCTGCACATGGTACTGACAGCCACTCAGTCTGACATTCACCTGGGCAAAAAACTGCTCTGGAAGCAAAGTTGGCTGCTGTCTCTTGCCTGCCGCTCAGGTGGGTGTGTTAAAGCACCTTGCCTTCCTCTAACCTCAGGCTGAGCTCAACTCCCCAAAAGGAGTGGAGTTATGACCAAAAAGAGGGCAGGAGGAAAGAATGAATGTTGATGTTGATGTTTAAAGTATTGTGTGCTTGGCCAGCCTCTCCCCACTCGCACTGTCAAAGTATGGGCGCACCCATGGGAAACACAGAAAGTGGGAGGGTCCAGCAGTCAATAAATAATCACAACAGTAACAATAACAGTAATGTTCACACGACTGAGCCCCACGGGCTGCACCCCACACATATTTTGTCTCTTATCCTTACACGGACCTGTAACGCTTTGCCTGCTTTCACAAGGCAGAGGCCCAGGGATGAGACCAGCTGGATGAGCCATCAGGGGGGCTTCTGAAGTTTTCCTGGAAAGGAATGGAACTGACCTCCTCCTACACAACCACCCCATCTCGGGTGTTACAACCCGGCCAGCCTGGCAAGTGCCAGCCCCAGGCTGCATGCCAGGTGCCACGAAAGCTAATGGACAAGCCAACGACCAAGCATGATTAAGATACTGGCAGCCCAAGGGAAAAAACAGACTTTTGGAAGTACTTGTTTATAAGTTGGAAATTGTATTTACCATCAGTCCAGAATATCTTCCCGGGCTTGACATGCTCCTCAGTTCAGAGGTCAAATTATTACATGAAACGGAAAAGACTCGTTGAATAAGCAAGAACTCATAATGAAGTTTCTCTTGCTAAGTTGGGTTGTGTGTGTGTGTGTGTGTGTGTGTGTGTGTGTGCGCGCACGCGCGCATGTGATTTTACTTCTAGAGTTAAAGAGGGCTGGGATTTCTCTAGCTACACGCAGATTCTGGTAAATCACACTTCCACAAATGAAGGATTTGGGGTGATCCATTCCCTAAATAAATAGCACCACCTAAATGACAGTCATCCACAATTCAAATATTTATTGAGATGTCTGATGTACTGTGTCTTCAGTCCAATCCACAGAAAACACACAATCAAAGAATCCAGAGCTGAAAGGAACCTTAAGAATTGTGGAGCCTACATCTTAGAGGAAAGTACAGGAGCCCAGGGAGAAACAGCATGAACAGCCTGCAGGGACACAGCCAAGCACAACAGTGGTGGGGAGCCAGACAGGGCGTGCAATCTGACGCTGTTGCAGTCTGGTGGTGACTTCAAGTAGCTACTTAAACTCCTATAGCCTTGGTTTCCTCATCAATCAACAAAACTATAAAACCATGTATGCCCTGCCTCTCCCTGAGGGACATGTAGCTCCATGACTGCTGTTCACATGCTCTGGAGCAAAGGGTTTAGAGAGTCTTATTTAGTCCTGTCATGGTAGCGGCCTTGGGGATAAGCAAAGGCCACCCTCTTTGTGCCTGGTCCCCGCAGAATGAGGACCAGCAGCCGAGAGAGTTGGTTGCTGAATAGCTCTGCAGGCATTGCCCTTCATCCAAGGTAGTTGCCCTGCCTCCCAGCTCAGAGGTGGCCTACATCTAAAACCAGTGGGCCCATGTGGCCTCCCTTGTCCAGTGACTTTCCCAGCTCCTGGAAGGATCAACTGAAGCCTGGGTTGTAACTACATGGTGATTCAACTCTCCCACTGCCCAGCCCTGCTCCCGACTCCCTCACAGACCGCTGGTCCTGAGAGCTTCCTGATAACCCCTGCAGGCACACCTCCTTGCAGTCTGCCTCCCAGGGAGACTGATTAACCCTGCAAGACATGTGTCCCTGAGCCCAGCCTCAGCAGGGCACTCCATGTGCTGACATGGGCCCACCCTGATCCCAGAACCATGTTGCTGCACCCCCTCCTCAGCCCAGGCAGCCCAACCCCAAAGGATTAGAGGTGCAGGTGGAGGTCTTCCTTTGAGAGAGGTCTTTCCCTCCCTCAAGCATCATCCTCCCAACACCCACACACAGAGGCCATCTTTACTGGCCAGAAAGGGGCAGCTCTGAAAGGCTAAAGAGCTACCTCCCAGGGAAGGGCAGGAGCTGCCACCCTGTCTGTACTAAGTCTAAGGACAGGAGGACATACAGACAAGGAGGAGCCATGTGACCACAAGGACAGGAACTGGAGTGAGGCAGCCACAAGCCAAGACATGCCATGGCCACCAGAAGCTGGAAGAGGCCCAGGAGGATTCTCCCTGGAGCCTCCCCAGTGAGCGTGACTCTGCCGACACCTTGATCTTGGGCCAGAAAAAAAATAAGGGAGACTTTTGGACTCCAGACAAGACAATATATTTCTGTGTCATAAACTATAAGACAATACATTTCTGTGTCATAAACCACTAAGTTTGAAATTATTTTGTTACCACAACCTCAGGAAACTATTACATCTGTCCAAGCTGGTCACTTCAGGCCCATCCCTGCCATGAACCCCAGCTTCCCTGATTAAAGAGTAACCCCCCCAATCTTGCTGATGTGCTAGTAAGAACTTGCTTCCTCCCCCCCCTCCCCGCCCAACTCCAATTTGTACTTTACAGCAAGCACTTACGGAGTACCTAAAAAAAGGAATTGTTTCTACTGGCAAGGTTTCAGACAGGTGGCAGGTGAGCATGCCTGCCAGGGAAGTGCAGTGGATGTTAAACAGAAATCTATAATCATTCACCAGTTAGACCAGACCCAGTTCTAGAAGTCCAAGTCCAGAGTATTAGAATTAGCAAACCAGACTCTGATTTTCAGGAGAGAAGGGGCCATAGGAATCCTACATTGAGCAGACAGAGCAGCCCAACCTCTCCTAGATGGAGGACCTGAGACCACGTCTTTCTGCCTTTTAGTTCCAGAAGTCCCACACCATCAGACCACACATGGGCTGGGTGACACCCACCTTTTGTATCTCCTCAGAGGAGTTGTTGCACTGGCTGCTGGGTGGGAGTGCTCTCTTGCACCGCTGTTCTCCACTGCTCATGGCCCAAGAGTTGGCAAAGTCGTAGGGGTCCGAGGTCAAGGTTCCTATGAAGTAAAGTTTCAGGAAAATGAAGCCACACTTAGGCCTGACCCAGAGCTTGTGAGCAAAAATTCTAGGTCTGTGGTCATCTAAATCAACCTTCCAAACACAGCACCACAGGCACAGGTATTGGAGCTCAGCCATGTTTGATGAGGGGTGGTCGGATGCATGAGCACAGAAAGGAACATGATAATTAAGACACTGCGGCACACGTCCACCCACTCCCACTCTCCTTGTCTTTGTACTGCTTTCTCCCTCTGTGTGGGCTATTTCTCATTCCTTTTTGCCTCAATTATCCACATTAATTCTGTGAGATGCAGTTCCAGGAAGCCTATATGAATCAGCTCTACTCCCCCCTCACCCCACTGTTCTGTGTGCTCCTGAGGTGCCCTGGTAATACCTCTATCAAAACCTGTACCATCCTTTGTGGAGTATTATTATGGTTTATATTTATTCTCCATTCAAGCATGAGTTCATTAATTCAGTGCACATGCTATATCTCTCATCTCTAAATTTTTATCTGGTAGATCACAGGCATTCCTCTGAGGATCTATGGTAGTAGGAAAACATTTATGTTAAAGTTCAAATTGATAGTTTTTGTGAAATTCGGTAACTCCGTATTGAAAAATTAACATAAAATCTCTTAGATAAACTCACAAACCAAAATGATTAAACATCAAGAAGCAATCCGCTATAACCAAGAATCAGCAGACATAAAAATAGCAGGATTAGAGCTCTAAAAACTTCAGATAATAATTTTTTTTGTATAAAGGTCATAAAACAAATATATTTTAAAATGTTGTTATAAAGAAGAAATTGAAACTTGACAGAAGAGCAAAACAACAAGAAAAAATAATAGTTGAAAAAGATTTACCTTCTAAATTACAAATATAATCAATGAAATGGAAAGAAAATTCAATTTGAATTAGACATCATCTGTAGATTACAGAGTTGAAGAGACATTAGTAAACTAGGAAATAAATCTAAACAGATAGATGTGCTGATCTGGGGGAGGGAGACAGATAGAAAAGTCCTGACTTGTAGAATTTGCTGATATCCATGGTGTATACAGACTATCAACAAAACATTACTTGAGAGTTGGAAAAGAGACACACAATTGACTCTCATCAGTCATCATGAGCACACCATCCAAAAAGCAACAGAAGGACAAAGAAGTTAAAAAATGGAAGTGAAGAAAGTGAGAGGGGGGAAAAGGATGGAATAGAAATATCCAATTTACGTCTGACAGTCTCGGAACGAAAGAAACTGATAGAAATTTTTCTAAATTCAATAGAGCGAATCATCAGATTTGGGTATCACAATAAGTCTCATGTCAGATAATAAAAATTTAACCCACACCTGGACTCAACATAGTGAATTTTCATATATTTCAAAAACAGAGATAGAAGACATTATCTGCAAAGAAATAACAATTAAACTAACAATATTTCAACAGCAACAATGAAATAGTATCCTCAAAGTACCATAATGGCTATTTCCTAGAATTCTATACCTAGCTAAAGTAACATATAAGAATGAATGTCTGTTTCAATTATCACAACCAGACCCTGAATAAAGGAACAACTAAAGGATGTATTTTAGAAAAATAGAACTTGAACTTAGATAAAAAAAAAAAGATGCAAAGAGAAATTATAAGCAAAAAACATATTAAACATAAGAGCACATTTAAATAAGCACAGAGTGTGTAAAGCTACAATAACAATGCCAGACACCGTTGTTTATTCATACAAGATAGAAGTTAGTAAGGATTATAGGGAAAGAATTGACATAGGAAAAGCAGTAGTAGTAAACAAGTTTGTTGTATAAATTCAAATACAGCAACAATTTAATATAAAATGAATGAAAAGAGACAAAACATTGTAATAGGAAAACAAAGGGTTAGATTACATTAAATAAAATGAGATATCATGAGATACTGTAACAGGGTGGTCCCCAGGAAAGGGGGAGGTTCCAGGTTCCCTGCCCCACACAAGGGAGGGTGGAGCTGAGCAGGGAGAAGAAGCTAGAGAAGGAATAGAGGAAGGAAGGAAGCAGGGTGGAGAGCCAGAAGGAGACCTGGAAGAGGCACGTGGAGCAGAGAGACATGTGAAGAAACTGCGCTTGCCTTTTGGTCATGGACTGGGTGAAACATGTGGGTGAGAGACCCATGGGGTGGATAACAATGGCAGCTTTCACCTTGATTTTGATTTTGCTCTTTTCCTCCCAGACTAGTGTGGTTGTTTCTGATCCTTTTCTGTGGGTCCCCACTGAAAGGTGCTTTAGGCTTGTGGCAGGCTTTCAGGCCTTGCTCTGGGTCAATCCTGTTTGGGTGGACTTTTACCCACAAGGGGATGGGTAACCTTGGGTGCTTGACTTAGAAACTATAGTCTTTGCCTTTCCTGTATTGTTTACTAATTGTATTAAATTTCCTTCCCACTAAAGACTCATTTGTTTTGTGTTGATGAGGTGGATGGCAGAACCTATTCAGAACAGGCAGGTTTGTGGGGTCTGTGGTACCCCTGTCCCTGCCCTGTAACAACACCATGACACATCTACTAAAATTAATAAAATTGAAAAAATAAGGTGACAATTACAAATTCTGTCAAGAAATCAGAAAAACTAGAAATTACACACTCCGGAAAACAGTTTGGCAGTTTCTTATAAACATACACTTGTCATACAAGCCAGCAATCCCACTCCTAAATTTTACCCAGAGAAATTAAAATATGGGCCTACATACACACACACACACACACACACACATGCCTATATATGAATACACTTCACACTTATCAAGATGGCAACTATTAATAAAAGAAAAAGATGAGTACATGAGAAATTATATAACATTGGTAGAATGCAAAATGGCAGAAAATAGTGTGGTAGTTCTTCAAAGAATTAGAATTGCCATATCACCCAGCAAGTCTGCTTCTGGGTTTACATGCAAAGGAATTAAGAGCAAGGTCTTGAACAGATATTTGTGCATCCATGTTTATAACAATACACCTGGTCTGAATTCCAGTTCTGACATCACTCACTAGCTCTGTGACCATGAGATTAACCACAGCAGAAAGAAGGGTTTTCCAGAAAAGCTTACCTTCTTGAGTCTTGAAGTCATCTTCACCAAAGATGTTGAAGTCGCCACACAATCCACAGGTTTTGTTGAAGTATCTATCTGACAGCAGTACTTGAAAGATGCCATTGCCATCAATTCTGGCCACGAAGCCATAGGCCTCACTGGACAGCTTGTAGTACCCTGCCTCACTTTCCAGATACAGCCCTTTAGAGGCATAGGGCATGGAGACTCTGCAGGAACAAAGATAAGATCAGCAAGTGCGGTTCTCACACATTTTCTGAATGTCCCTCTCACCTTTCAACCCCAGCCCCGTGCCACACAGTGCAGACCTTTGCACAAAGTAACCAAGGATCTAGGCCAAGAGTCAAGAAGACTGACTCACCCAGACCCACCACTCACTTCCTCTGGGCACACTTACTTTCTCTCTTGTCCCCAGCTTCTCCATCTGATGAAGGAGGATATGCAAGAGGAATCCCCAGGCCCTTCCTAACTCCAACTCCCTGAGCTTCTGACTTACCTTTGGTCACCCTGCAGCACAGTACCGTTAACAAACAGGTGGACTTCAAAAAATTCCCCCAGGTACACGGAGAGGCTCACTCTGTGGCCATTTTGGAAATCCCCTGGAAAAGAAGAATCGGCAGTAGTGGTTATTACCTTCATTTATAACAATCATGTCTACAATTTTATCTCAATGAAAAACTCCCCTAAAAGACTTAAGAAATGAACAACAAAAATCTCCCTAAAAATCTCGTTTACTTACTCATCTTTCCAGTCATCTAAAAATATTTAAGCTAGCCAGTTAGCTCAATTGGTTAGAGCGTGGTGCTGATAAAAATATTTATTGAGGGCCTCCCTGGTGGCAAAAGGGTTAAGACGCAACCTATGTTGCTAGCCACAGCCACTGCAGCAGGAGTTCGATACCCGGCCAGGGAGCTACCCACATGATGCAGCAACCTCTCCTGTCTAGCCCGCTGCTCCCCTCAGCAGTGTATTTCAGTCAGTCTGCCTGTTCTGTTCCCCACTCTATCTCTGATGAATCCTCTCACCCCTGCACCTCTGGCCTGTACCCCAGTTCTTGCATGCATGAATAAATAAATCTTTAAAGAAATATCTATTGAGTGTCTTCCAGATATAGGGCTCTCTTGTAATCTCTTATATGTCTAAAAAAAAATAATAATAAAAGCATGACTCCTTCCTTCTGGGAGTTTACAATTTAAGTGCAGGTATCTCCTACTTTCTGAAAGTTGTATAACATGTCACTTTTATGAAAGACTTATAGGAATACCTGTTTTCCATAACCAAAAGAAACTTGAAGACGGTTTTTGCTTTTAAACATAAGACAAAAAGGAAAAATAGGGTTCAGTGATTGTTTTGCAGCAGCTGTTCTAGAGGCAACAGCCTTTGAGCTGCAAGAGTGGCCACACTCCATCAAGGAGAACTCCTTCATACAGGCTCTGTATTTATTATAGCATTCCTGCTTTCACTACACATTCATGTTATTTTATATGTAACTTCACATTGTATGATTTGGTAGGTTATTTTGGGGGGTTTGGGGAAGCTTAATATTGCTTCTGTATAAAGGAATAGTAGTTACTTCTTCACTCTACAACATTTTTATTTATAAAATTTTTCACAGGAATGCTCTACTTTCAGATAAAGGGAGGAACCTGGCTAAAAATAAAACAAGCTTGCATCACTTGAGTACGCAAATAAAAGCAACAATAAGTAAATAATGAAGCCAGCCAGACCCCGCAGATGGTGGGACTGGAGTCCACCCAAGTGGCCAGCACTCGGGGTAAATTGCCCGTCGTCACAGAGCTACAGTAATGACAGAGCAGACTCAGACAGGGAAAGGATCTGGATTAAGTATTTGAAGGGCTGGCTCTGTGAGATCCCAGGAAATATGGCCACTGGGAGCCAGGAAGCAGCCCCAGAGCCCATCAGAGATCATCTACAAAGAGGTTTCATAACTTTTTGCCGAGAAAGCAGAATAAAATCACTATTTACTCCATGACCCAGCAGGCACAACCCGCACACATCTCACTAACAATGCTTCCCCTCACTGTGCCACATGGTCTCATGTTTGTCATGTTTTGTAGTCTACTCCATTTCATTATTTTTAAATCAGACTATAACGACGGCATTAATTTTATGACCCAGAGGTCCTGACTCACTTGGAAAACACTGATGGAGACTGATTCCGTGCTACAGCTAAAGAAACTGAGGCCTGCATACACAGCAGGATTTCTCCACCCAGCACTCTTACACTTGGGGTCAGGTACTTTTTTGCTGTGGGGACCATCTTGTGCCCAGCAGGATAATTAGCAGCATCCTTGGTCTCCACCCATCAGATGCCAGCAACATCCATTTCCTCCTTGTCTTAATTCAAAATGCCTGTAGGCTCTGCCAAATGTCTTCTAGGTCACTGGGGTGAGAACTATAGGTTTACACTGGACTTGGGGTGGAGCCCACACTTTGCTTGCCTTACTCCGGGTCCAAATCTCCTTTTGCAGCACAAAGCTGCCTAAGGGTATCTGAGTGCCCAGGATTCAGTTAACACTAATGCAAGGGCAGCTCTCCATTAGCCTCTATTGTATTTGCTCCATCCCCTCCCTAAAGAACTCTTGGGGGAGCTGAGGATTGCAGCCATTAGGAAGATGCATCCGTAGAAACTGCCAGACAGCCGGGGAAGGACTCCCACACTCTCCCAACCTGCAGGTTCGCATTTCCTGTAGCTGTAGCAGAAGATGGGCTGAGTGTCCACCCAGAAAGCCAGAGTGAAGCGGAAGCTCCCCCCAGGGTCAGCTCCCATCTGGCCTCTTAAACTCAAGGACTGAGGTGCAGAGGGAGGGAGAAAGTCTCCCCTGGGAAAGTGACTCAATGGGCTGTTGGTAGTTTATGGCTCCCTCTGGGCTGGCTGGGGAGCAAGGCTTAGGAAAAGCAGTCTTTCCAAGCTGGAGCTCCAAATGGTCACTCTCTCCTTGGTCCCCTAGGACACCCATAACCTTGGCCTGCGACCCTGGAGCCTGCCTGACCAGGAGCCAGGATGAAGGACAGGGGCCTTCCTTTTACACAAGGTGGGCCTCCATGCTCCAACACAAACACTACCCAGGATGTGAACAAGGTCCACAAGCACTCAGGGAAGGATGGGAATTTGGATGTAGAAGCAAGGAAACAGGATGTCATTGGAGAACAATGGAGTGTACCATGTCCCGACCATGTCCTCAACCGTGTCCTCAAGGACACAGTCATGTACGTGGAACTGGCCCTTCCCCTGGCCTCAGGGTCTCGGCAATGGTGCCAGCCCACTCTCCCAGGCCCAACCGCCTGAGATGATTCTCTCCTCTCAACACCCCCACCATCGCCACAGCCCCAAAAAGAAAGAGTAGCCATTCATTCTTGCTGGTAGCAGCACAGATTTTAGCCAATTCACATAGAAGTGTAACTGATCCAGTCTGGCTGAGACATCATTGCCCATAATCACTGCCCAGAAGCACTGCCTGAGTTTCCCTGCCTGAAAGGACTACCCTTAATGGGGGGTGGGGGGGGGTGGGAGTTGGGCTGAGCAGAAAGTGGTGCTTTTCCAGCCTACTGCTTTTTCCAGCCTACTCTGTGCATAGTACTAAGATTTAATTCTGTGTTATGCCCAAACCCATCTCCAGGGGAAGGTGCCCACAGCAGAGCCTGTTAAAATACATCAGGGAGTCGAGGCTGCAGCCACCTCCTGGGTACCACACTGTCTCTACAGGGCCCCCCTGAAACTCCTGCGACCCAAAGCCATAAGATGGAGAGGGGTGAATTTTTCTTCCTTTGAAATCTTCCCCATCACTCCTAGCCCTCCACCCCCTGACACCCCAGAGCCATCTCAGGTCAGCCCCGTGTATCAGCTACAGGCAGAGAAACACACTTAAATATTGGGACCACCTGACGTGTCAAGGGCTGAGCCTTCAGCTGTGGGTGCCCAAAGTTCAGGGTTCAGGGTAGCTATCTCGATGCACTTGCCTGGTGACCCGGCCAAGTCCACGCTGCTTCCAGCTCTCTCCCGCTCAAGGCCATCTTGGCAAAGTAACAATCCCTTCTTGATCACTCCAGCAGCCATAGTTCCACCAGCTGCTCCCTGCCCGCTGACCGAGAAGCGAACTCTCCTGTGAGGCTGCCTGAACCTGCATGACTAGCTTTGCCCCATGACCCACTCTGCATCCGCATATTCTCCTACTCTGAGCTTCCCAAATATTGGCCCCCAAACTATCCACAGCAGCAGCAGCTGGAACTTATTAGAAGTGAAAATTTTAGATCCCACCCAAATCCACTGACTCAGAAACTCCCGGGGTAGAGCCCAGCACATGGTGTTTAACCAGCCCTCCAGATGGTCCTCATGCTGGGGGCCTGGAGAATCATCAGCAAGAGGGATCTCTGAGCACACAGGGCTGTGGGGAATGAGCCACGCCCCTTCCAGCCTCTTCCCTCCCTGCTCAGGGTGTCCCCCTCCGCAGCATCCTCCCTGCCCCTCTGCACAACCAAACCCACACCCAAGGCTCATCATTTGTCGTGCTTCTCCCCAGGTCAGCTCTTCCACACAAGAGAGCACCTTGCTTCATGGCCAGCCCCCTCGCAGTCTAGACAGAGCCCCCAGCAAGTGATAACGCCCTTGAGGGGCTCGTGGAGAAAATGACAGACCGGGCATTCCAGCCACTGAAGCCACGCTGGCCTAGTTCTCCAGTAGAGACAAGGCTGATGATGAGGCGGGCAAGTGCTGGAGAGCCTCACAGACAGGCCTGAGGCAGCTTTCTCACTCCCTCATGAAGCCTCGCCCAGTGCTGGCCCAGAAGACACTGCACCCAACACTGATGGAGTAGAGACCCCGAGAATCTACTGCCTGCTTCTCACATCTACATCCGGTGTGGACAACGATGCTCTCCTTGACCAAACCTGAGTCAGGCTCAGAGTCCTCTTCTTGACTAGGTCTTCCTTAGGCTCTGTCCTTGGCCTGCTTAGTCCTGCTTTAGTGAGAATCCCGCTGGGTCAGTTTAGGGGGAAAAACCCACTCTCAATATCTCATGGTGTTTCTCACACGGCTCCCCCTCGGTCGCTTACCACTCTGGGCTGCCTTCGGCTAGATTCCAGTCAAGCTGGCTGAGCCAGAATCCCCCTGGTCCCCCATGTTCCCTCTTAGTAATTTTCCACCCACGGATGCCCACCCTCCTCCTTGCTATAAGTCCCATTTTTCTTGTTATATTCAGAGTACAGCCCCATCTCCCTCCCCTGCACGGAGCCCCCACCCCCACCCCCACCCCACCCCCAACCCACCGCACCTGAAGTAGTCCCATCTGAATAGTTTCTCTTACTATTTTTAAAGTGTTAAAAAGATTTTTGCTTTGACAGTGTGGGTCTAGGGTCACCTCCCCAAGGTGGAAGACCCCAACTTTGCCTGTTTTTTTACCAAACCCCATACACCACACACATCTAATTCATTCTGGGAGTGTAACAATCACCACACAGATTCCACCACCGTCTCCAGCCCCCTCCAGACTTGGAAAGTGCCCTCTGCCCTTAGCACAGAGGAGAGTGCCTTCATCCTAACAAGCCCAGAACTTCCCTGGGCTCCTGCTCTCTGTGAAACAGGGGTGCTGTGCCTCCATCTCAGAGTTGCCAGGGTGGTGCAGCGCTAACCCGCCACAGCACTTCTGCAGGAACACAGGAGGCGCTCCACGTCAGTGCCTGAACCTACATCTGAACCCACTCAGAACACAGCAACAACCCTTCCTGTGTGCCAGGTGCGTGCATGTTACAAAGTGCCTCTGGTTCATCAGGTCTCTTGATGCTTCAGAGCTCCCAAGTGTGGCCTGGAACCAGAGCAACAGACCCGTAGAGAATCATGAAGACTGTCTTCATCCCAGGCTCCCAAGGAGACGTCAAGGAAGCCCTGGTGTCACAGAGGCCTTACCCCTTGCCAGGCTCTGCCTGTGTTGAGCTCAGGTGCTAGTGTAAGAATAGGAGATCTGGGGTCCTCCCTGGTGGCTTAAGGGGTTAAGTCTCAGCACTATAAAGCTATCAGCAGTGACTGCTGCACAAGTTTGATCCACTGCCAGGGAGCTACCCACATGGCACAGCAGACCTCTCTTGTATCACCCGCTGCTCCCCTCAGCAGTGTATTTCAGTCAGTCTGCCTGTTCTGCTCCCCACTCTGTCTCTGGTGGATCCTCTCACCCCCCACACCTCTGGCCTGTACCTCAGTTCTTGTATGCATAAATAAAATAGATCTTTAAAAAGATAGGAGACCTTCCCCCACCACCCCTCCACCCCAGGGCGGAGCTCCGCTGCCCCCAGCCCCCCTGAATTCCTCCCCTCAGCACCCTGGACTCACCAACAAGCGAGAAGGAGCGTTTCTGACAGTCTCCAGCCAGGAGGTAGCTGCAGTCCCCCGCAAAGCTGTATATGCTGCCATCAAAGGTGCTGACGAAGTCATCCCCGAAGAGGCTGCATCGGCCCATGGAAGGCCTGCTCAGAGGGTCTGCACAAGGGGTCCCTGGAGGGAGAGGCTGCAGGTGAGCACAGCTGGGATCGCCAGCCCAAGCCACTCCCGCCTTGTAGAAATCAGGGAGCCAGGCTAGAAAGCGGGCCGTGGGGAAGCACTTTCTATCCTAACTGAGACTAAAGCTGTTGCTTTCTACTCCTAAATATGACCTCAGACACAAAGCAATGGAGGAACGGGTGTTCAGGAAATCTACTCGTTTTACTGAGTTACTTGCTGATTGACAATGTAATACATACTTATTATAAAAAATTTGGAGAACAAAGAAGAAAATACTAAGATATTAAAATCATCTTTAACTAACATTTAATGATAACTAGAGTTAACTTTTCAGTGTTTATATTTCTGTTCTATTTTACAGCAGGTATAAAATCACAGCTTTTTTTACAACTGTGGGCCATCCTGTGAAAACTCTTTATAACCTGTTGATTTCTCAATATATTGTAAATAGATTATCAGACCATTTGTTTTACTTCCAAAACACGCTTTTTAGTGCATACAAAATATAACTATAGGCACATAAAATAGATTCTATATACATATAAAATATTCTTAAAACTATATACATAGACAACCTACACATATATAGCATAACTCCCTTGTTAGGCACTTAGCATTTTTCCAAATTTTCTGATATTTTATTACATTGTAATGAGCATCCTGTACATTAACCTACTGGTATGTCTTGAACAGTTTAAATTTGAAACAGATCAGCCTTTGTGCCTGAATCAATCAAGTGCTAAGTCCTCCAGGATCATGTGCTAACTCCTAAGGGACACTTCTGCTAGCCTCACCAGAACACAGTGTGTGTTTGTGTGTGTAGAGGGCAGGTGGAGACCACAACAGCAAATGTCTAAGTGTTCTGGGACCCTCGATAAGGACACACGTAGTAAGGAAATACACAGGGTGTCCCAGACTAACCCGTGACCGCAGGCTCCATGCCACCAACCCCAGTGGCCTGAGTGGAGAGCAGCCGGGTTAGAGCAGGGTCCCTCTTGCCACTCAGACTCCAAACCCAGCCAGGAAAGCAGTATGTGTAGAGAGTGCTGACTGGGCCCAGGAAAGCTGACCTCTGACCTTGGCTGTGTGTGACTTTCAAGTAGCTGTTTTCCTCTCTGACCTTCTGTCTCTTCTGTGCTCTGGGATGTGCAACTAGAGGACTTCACAGTCCCTCCTAAAATGAACCTTCTATTCCAGTCTTGGGTTCCTTCTTCAAGCCCCCCACCCCAGTCACATAGCACTGCCCTGTGTGGCTCTTGTGTCCTTAATTCCCCAGTCAGAGAAGGCTCTGGCAGGCGCCCGGGGCGTGCGCCTTGGGAGATGCAGGGGCAGTGCACTCTGCAGGACCTGCACGAGAGGAATCAACCAGGCAGCCAGGGACTCTGGCAGGCCTGCACCAGCCCGCTACAGGGCAGGGCACGCAGGTGAGCTCCAGACACAACTGCTGGTTCCTGGAGGGGGTGAGGTGGTGTATTCCCAAAGGCCCTAGGGAGGAGTGAAGAGTGGAAGCAATTTGGTACCTACCTGGCAAGGTGAGGGCCAGAGCAAGCAGCACCCACATGAGCCTGGCAAGAGCCATCTGCAGGGGAGGGAAAAGGAGGTGGTGATCACGGCCCGCAGAGAGGGCTGCTGGCATGTTGTTTAGTCACATACCAAGTGGGAAGAACATTTTTCTAAAAGCAACAGAAAGGGTTCATCCTCACTGTCCTGTTTGCCCCTAAAACAAACTCCTGGTCTCCCCAAAAAGCTGCTGGTCAGAGCTAGGTCCAAAAGTAACAGCCACTGTGAAACAGGCCCCACTGCCCTTCCCCTGCAGCAGTCCCAGAGCCGTGATGGACAAGGCCACTCTGCTTCTCCATCAGTGCCCGGCTCCCCCCGGCAGCTCAGAGCTGACGCCCACCACACTCCCCGCTGCCTCCTCATCCTTCCACTCAGGGCAGTGTGTTGGTGAGAGGGAGCTGTCTTGTCTGCTTTTGTTCCTCCCACGGGCACCCAGACTTAGAGAATGCGCAGGAGCCCCAGGTGTGGTGTTTGCTGGTCAGTCCTCCCTACTGTACCATGAGCACCCTGACACCTAGCACCACGCCCAGGAAATGCTCAGACAGTGCTTGCTGAATTGACCTGTTACATGGACAGGAGGCCAGCAGCCCTGGGCCCGGCGAGGTCGCCCACTAGGGAGCATCCCAGAGAGGGACATTTGACCCAATCAGCAGAGCACACCCCAAGCCCTTTCAAACCCCTGCACGGCCCTTTCCTCTGGAGAAGTTTGTTAAATCAGGTGTGGCATCTGTTACCTGATTCCCTGGAGTGACCCCTTTTCCAGCCAGTGCCTCATTCAGTTAAAAAAGAAAGAGAGAAACCCAATCTATTATGGATCTGTGGAAGGAACGCTGACCTATGACCTCCGTGTGGCCAAGAGCTAGTCTTAAAGCAGATGCCCCTCTCCTGCATCCTCGGGGCTGTCAGGCTGCTCCAGGAGGCGCCCAGAGGTGAGCACAAAGCTCAATCCAGTCTCCTCTTGGAAAAAACAACACTAAACCCAGGCATGAACAGAAGCAACCTCAGGAATCCTCGCGAGGCAAGGCAAGTGGGTGGAGGCATTATATGGTCCCTGGCTTTGAAACTTCCTCCAAAACAAAGCCTGTCTGCTCTCAGATCAGAGACACCCAGGGGTAACATCCAGTCCTGGTCTTCCTCCCCAGCGATCCAGCCCTCCTTCCAAAAGACCGTACCTTCTCCTGCAAATGGGGGCTGCAGGGATCTCCAAGGTCCCTTGGGAAACGCAGCCACTTTCCGAAGGTGCCACCAGCCCTAGGCCATGCTCCCAACCACTGCAGCGGCGCAGGCTGTGGGCTCCCTGCGTGCAGTGAGATAAAAAGGCCAAGTGGTGACGTCCATCAGCCCCCACCCCTTCCCCACCAGAGTAGCTGCCACAACAGGGGACTGGCCTCCTCTTAATTACCAGAGGAAACAATGAACGGAAATGGTATTAGAAATACCTTCAAGCCGATAAGGCTTTGAACACTTTGGTGGAAGACCTCCTGGTGGTTGCCAGAATGGGCTGCCTGGCCCTCTTCATTCCCACCAGGCCCTGATCCTCTCCATACAGGGATGCTTCTTGTCCCAGCAGGCTGGTGCAGGCCAGGGAAGAATCCAGACCAAATCAACACAGCTTCAGGATCTGGCTTCCAGGGCCAGACACAGGGAAGTTTGGAAAAATACCTCAACCTGAGCCAATTTGCTGCTATGTTTGGAGGAAGGCAAGAACTAAGGCTTCCGGTCCATTGCAGGTATGACTGGTCTGTCCCGGGCCCCTGACAATAACAGGCAAGTTGGGTCCTGGCCAGGATGAGCAGAGAGGCCTTGTCACAGGCAGGCCTTTGCGAAAAGAGCAGAGGGATGGTTAGATTCAATGCTCCAAGCAAAAGCTCTTTCACCTACTTGTGGTGCCCTCAGTCCTCTCTGAAACACACACACACACACCACAACACGTACACACACCATAACACACACATATAATCATACAATACACACTCCCAAAACATACCACATGCACAACACACGTATTGTAACACAATCATACATTACACACAACATACACATGCCACTGCATATACCTACCATACACATAAACACCATATACACACTACATATACACACTACATATACACACTACACATGTACTTCACACACTCACATACATACCATACACCCCACACCACACACCCACACACTCACACACATACCACCAATCCTTCCAAACATCCATTCTAAGAGTAAGTCTTAAAAGCAACTGCTAAATTAATAACTGCTGGAAGTTGGATGTGGTGGAGGTGGGAATTCTCTCATGTGGAATTCCAGGCATTATAACTAGCATCCTGAGACATATTTAGTTATGGACCCCTCCTCGTGGATCCTCATGTCATACCACTTGCCCTAACATTTTGGGAACCCGTATGTCCCCCACACCCCCTTCCTCACACACATGCCTCACACTCTACTACTCCCTTTATCAGCCCAGAGGAGTAAGATGAAGTTTCCAAGATATGAAATGGTAGAAGATGCAGGGCTAGTGTGATGTGATAGGAAGGACACTTAAAGACTTCTATTTCCAATTCTTTTTTTACTAGATAACCTAACAATCCATCCACTTTAAAACACCTTAAAAATTTATGTTAAATATAGCATACTTTATTTTTTAAAGATTTATATATTTATGCATACAAGAGCTGGGGTACAGGCCAGAGGTGTGGGGGGTGAGAGGATTCACCAGAGACAGAGTGGGGAACAGACAGGCAGACTGATAAGGAGATGAAAAAATGAAAGAAATGTTTGGAAACATTATAGAAGAAGATCCAATGAGAGGTCTGAGAGAAAGTCCTTCAGTATAGATTTCTATATGCAGTGCCTTCCCTAGAATAGAATGTTAGCACAGATAATTTTGGGGGGAGTGCAGGAAACAACAGAGGAAGTGGGGCTGTGATGTGAAGAAGGGGAAGGAGCCAATAAAAGATGTTTCCTACGCCAGTCACCACTTGGGCACTGAATTTAACCCAAGAAGAAAGTCTAGGGGAAAAGGGTCAGACAGTGCCTTAAAATAATCTTATGGTTGGGTCAAGAGATAGTTCTACACTTATGCTTGTCCATTCTTGTCAGAGCTGTTCCTGGAGGCATTAGCTCTTCAACACTTCTGGCTTCCAGCGCAGACATGGTATGTAGGAAATACCTGTGGAGTTACCTCTGGTAAGAGGAGGATGAGGGAGGGACAGTAGCATCTGCTTTACCTGGTTACCCTATCACTAGGAGTGAAGAGAAAGTAGAGACATTAATAATACTTTCTGAAAGAAGGTAGTTCTTTCAGAACTACTAAAGGATGTACTTCGGGGCCTCCCTGGTGGCGCAGGGCTTAAGACACAACCTATGGGGCTGTCCGCAGCCACTGCGGCAGCAGTTCGATCCTTAGCCTGCCAGGGAGCTACCCACATGGCACAGCAGACCTCTCCTAACTCACCCGCTGCTCCCTCAGCAGTGTATTTCAGTTAGTCTGCCTGTTCTGCTCCCCACTCTGTCTCCCGTGAATCCTCTCACTCCCTGCACCTCTGGCCTGTACCCCAGTTCTTGTATGCATAAATATATAAATTTTTTAAAAAATATATAGGATGTATTTCAGGAAGAAGGAAATTAAACCCAGAAAGAAAATGTCAGAAGAAAAGGCAAAAAAAAAATTGGTAAATATAGGAGTTTGTATAAGAAAGCAATCATGGCATAAACAAAAATAGTAATGGTGACAAATTGAGGAGTTAAAAAAATAAGATGAAACGAAAATACCAGACAGCAACAGTATCTAAGATGGGGTGGAGGTAACGGGAGTGAAAGTATATTAGGGTCCTGGAATTGCTCAGAAGAAATCGGTGATAGCAGTAGACTTTGTAAGGCTAGACCCCATACATAGCAAGCTTACAAGTAGGATACAAAAATAGAACTGAATTGTGTTTTCCAGCTCAATGGAATTTTATTCCTAGACTGATCTAGGGAAAAAAGAAAGAGTAAAAATGACTGCAAATAGTATAAAATAAGGTAAAGCCCCCCAAAATCCAAATACACTGATAATTAGCAATAAAAAAACCCAAGATTATCAGGTTGGGTTTCTTTTATTTATTTTTTTTAAGATTGATTGATTGATTTATACAAGCACTGGGTACAGTTAGAAGCGCAGGAGGGTGAGAGAGTTCACCAGAGCCACAGCGGGGAACAGAACAGGCAGACTGACGAAATACACTGCTGAGGGGAACAGCGGACACGGAAGGAGAGGTCTGTCGCGCCGTGTGGGACCCTCGTTGGTGGCCGGGAATCGAACCGCAGCTGCGGAGGCTGCGAGCAGCTTTGCAGCCCAGGGCTCAACCACTGTGCCACCAGGAGAGGCCCTAGGTTGGGTTTCTTTTAAAAGACTACAGTGATGTCCAAAAGACAAGCCTGAAAAATAAAGGCAAAAACTGCAAGGGAAAAAAAGAAAAGGCAAATTATAATCAAGAAAAGGCTGATTGTACAACCATCATACAAAACAGATCTTAAGATAAAAATCTCTATCAGAGATTAAGAGGATACAAAGCTGATAAAAAGATGACTTCACCGCTTTCAGTTCTAGATAATCACTAGGAGGATCCTGAATTCATCTCCTCCCAAGGACAAGCTGAATCTATAGCTACACAGGGAACAACTTCCTCTGAAAGAACTCCAGAAACTAGCTGAGCAACTCCTACACATCAAGCAGACAAGAAATCACCTACATTGAAAAGGGTAGGACACAAAATCTCCAGAAACCTACCCCCACTGTGACCCACATTTGAGTTTCTACTTACATACACATATAAGGGCTGACCATGATCCTCTCTACAGACCTTTGAGGGTGAGAACTATCTTGTTTCTCTCCCTCTGGCTCACTCCTGTCACCAGTATCTCCCCAAAAGGAGCATGTGCACATATCTGAAGCCTCCATTTTTGTGGCTGCTGACCATGAGACACGCCTGATTGTCTGGCTCTGGCCCCCATCAGACTTATGTTTGTGGATCTCATAGCTTTGTTGTGAAAGGAGAGACAGTTGTTGACCAACTACAACCCCAGGACACAGCACAGAGATAGCAGGCTGAGAAGCACTCCCATTAGCCTGTCTTCATAGTGGTGGCCCGAGGTGCAGGTCCTAATTAAACACACGTGTAGAAATTGACTGTGATCCTTTCCAGAGCCTGAGGAAGCTATCAGATGCCATCTTCATGCTCTCGATCTGTCCTATCCCAGGTCACCAGTATTTCCAAGAGAAGAGTTTATGTGCATGGCTGGTGCCCTGGCTTTTGCACTTACTGCCCAGAGGACACACCTCTTCATGGCCTGATTTTGGTGGCCAGCAGAGCTTATGTTCATGGGTTCAACAAGATGGCAGCAAGCAAACAGCTTTTTACTGTTTGTTTATCACCATAGGGAGCCGAGGGAGCAGACAGAAATGGCCATCCTCCCCAGTCTTTCCTAGAAGAAGTGTAACTACGTATTTTTTTTTAATTGATCGTGAAGGCTCCATTTCCAGTTCTTTTTTTTTTTAATTTTTTAAAATTTTTTTAAACAATATTTGCTTCCCTTCATCCCCTCTAGTGTAGTCCCCGTAGGATTTCCTTCCTCAAGTCACCCGTGCACCATCACCACAGTCCCCTGTGCTCCTCCCTCCCTCCCTCTCACCCCTCTCTCTCCTCCTCCCCTGCAGTATGTCTCTGATTTATAATTGTCTGTTTTTGCTTTGTTGTGTTTTGTACTGTTATTATTTTTTTACACTGATGTCTTATTTGGTTCCCCTATATTCCTGCTATAAGTGAAACCATGTGATATTTTTCTTTTTCCTTCTGGCTTATTTCGCTGAGCATAATTCCTTCTAGCTCCATCCATGTTGCTGCAAATGGCATGAGTTTATCTTTTTTGCTTGCAGAATAATATTCCATTGCGTTTATATTCCACATATATACACAGTCATCTATTTTGGGCATTTGTGCTGTTTCCAGGTTTTACCTATTATAAATGGTGCTGCAATAAACATAGGTGTTTACAGGTGTTCTTTTGAGTCAATGTTTTTGTGTCCTTGGGTAGATCCTTAGTTGTAACTACATATTTTTAAAGTGGCTGCCTGAATCTAGAAGATCCTCCCCTTTGGACACTGACAGGTCTTGGCACACCCTCAAATTACTGAGAGTCATTAAGAATAAAGTAGGTTACTTGGTCAGTCACAAAGGTCTGAGAGATAACCAAGAGCTAGGGCAGAGATAGCAATAAGTTTCATTTACTACATGAGGTCACTCCTTCAAGACCAGGAGAAATGTCTGTTTCATCTAACACATAGAAATCAA